AAAAATTAAAAAACTTTCCAAAGCTTCATGGCAATCGTACTATGCCACAAACCTTTGCTGGAGTATATTAAACAACTTCCCAAAGTTTCACGGCAATCGGATAAACGGTGTGGTAATGCATGAAGGACACACACACACACACACACACACACATTCATTTTTATATATATAGATGATGTCCTCTCCACAGTAGCAGTATCCACTATTGAAACATTTCTGAAGATGAACTGTTTGATCTTAATATACTTGAATGTTTCTTCTTGTGTATTTTAAAGTTTTTAACTCTACTAAAGCACTATGATTTTTACTAGAATGGAGTTCTAGTTTATTTTAATAAAATAGTTTATTAAACATTAAATGTTCACTAAATACACTTTATTAAATAAGGTCATTTTAATTTATCAGTGCCTAAATTTTAGTTTATATTATCCAAAAATATGTAATTGTAAACTTTCCAAAATTTTGCATTTATGGTAGTTTACAATTACATATTTTTGAGAAAGATTCTCACTGGAGAAAAATCCTTTGCTGATAATTATGTGCACCAAGTTGTTCTATTATGAACAATATAACAGAACTGTTTTAAAGCACTAGTTTAGATTATTTAGATTAATAATGATAATGCCTCATCAGAGCCACATTTGAGAGCTGATAATTAAAAAAGTTTGAAAATACCCATTTATCTGAAGAGAATGATAATTATAACTCTGATGACAATAAGCAAAGTTTTACACATGGCTAGATGGACAAACAATTAAGGTGTCAGGCTTTTGGAACTGGGATCTAATTTGGACAAATAACTCCAGGAATTTTTTATGGATGTCTGAGATATGACAGACATACACACACTCACTACTTGGCCAATCCTACTGTGGGCCAGGTTGAATTCCTAATAGACATGGAAAAAGGCCCTCAGTATCCACAGGGCATAAAAAACCAAAAATGAAAAGAAAAAAAAAAACAAAGTTTTATAAGTGTATTTTAACTTATATGTTTTTGGACAAACTAAATCAGATAACAATATCTAATTACAGTAAGTAGATTTGAATACTGAAATAAAAAAAATACTATAATAGCATAGAAAGTATAATATAAAAAAAGAGTTCAAGTATTTTTGAACACTCATTTAGTACTGTAGCTTTTTTCTATGCTTTCTATGCTAATTTATTATTATAATTTGATATTTTGAAGCATTAATTTTAGTCGATAAGTTCAATTTTGCCATTTATTCATCCAAATGAATTTAATCAATATCTATAAAAAATGAAAATAAAATTGATTAAATCAATTCATAGTAGTTAAGATTTTAACATTAAATGAATATTTAAATGTTTTTAGTTTAAGAAATTTACAAAATGTAAAATTTATAATTTATAAATATTAATAGAATTTTGATTTATATAAAAACTCTATTAATTTTATTAAAAATAAATAAACCAAGTATCAACCTTAATAAATTCATCATTATTTTGATCTTCAACTTCTCCTTTCTTTTCTTCAGTGATGTTATTACTCTTTGTATGTATCTTTTTTTTATCATACTGGTTTGGTAATTTCACTTTATTTTTATACAAAACAAAAATATCTCTGAAAGTATATTTTAAAATATTAATAATTAATTGTCGTAATTAAAATATTGAATTTTCTTGAAATAAGATTTAATTTTAATTTAGTCATTCGATAACATTAACAAATTGTGAATTAGATTACATAAAGTATAGTAATATATGAATTTATGAAATAAGAAATATAATGAATAAAAAACAAAATAACTGTAAGGTTTACTTTAAAAAAATTACAGTAGAACTTCAGTATAACTGACTAATTGGAGAAGTGGTGCTTTCTGTTGCTGAAAAATCCATTAAATCAAATATATTTTAAAAATATATTAAAAATGAACTTACATTCTACAGGAAGTTATAATGATATTATAATGTATAAGTATGAAGTACATTAAGTAATTTATACCCATAGACCCAGTGATCTAACCCAGGCATGGCCAACATACGGCCCGTCTAATGAATATATGTGGCCTGCGATCAATCTTTCAATATTAGTTACTGAAGTCTGAGTAGCTCATTGAAAGATTCTGACGGCCAAAAGAGAAAAAAAAATAAAAAAAGGTCAATAACTCACTGTTCATTTAGAGTTAACCCCCATTACAAATCTCGTAAGTACAGCGTAGAATGTTGATAATGCATGATGATGTGAAAAATGTATCTGTAATCTTTATCTACAATTCAGTCTCTATGGGTTGACACCACAATGAGATCTCGCACCACCTCAAAATCTTCCTAAGGCCTGTGGATAAAGTTTTCTTTCCAATTCGGCCTGGGGGCAAAAACTGTTGGTCACCCCTGATCTAATCTTTAAGAATGCTCTATTCACAAATCAAAAGAAGGTTCTAAATTTCCTCTTAAAACAGAAATTTTTTATCTATTAAATCAAGAGTTTATTGTAAATTTGTACACAAAATTCATATAGGTCTATTTTTCACATAAATTTTCTATTTGATTCAATCTTAAGTTTTTGTTCTGTGTATCAATATAATTGCAACTAAACTAAACTTATTTAAATTTGCTAAATAACGTTATTGTATAAAATATGTAAACAAATAAGTTCAAAGATTATCATAATCACATCATTAAACACCTGATTACATAAGGCTTCCTTTTAGTTATTATTTCAAATAACTTTGAACTTTTGTCTAAAGTTAAAGGTAATTAGTAATTTGATGAATAATATATATGATTATAGTTCTTAAATTAATTGATCTGGAAGTAAAGATCAAACAAAATCCATTTGGTTTTAATTTACTAACTAGGTAAACTCTTTAGCAAAAACATATGCTTAATAAAAAAAATACATTTATATTTCTACATATGGTACTTTTCGTTTGACTATAGTTAATATGGCCAAACTGCAGTTAACTATTTCTCTTCTTATTAAAATGTATATTGCTTACTTTATATAACACATAAAAAATGATTCGTTTATGATCTAGCTATGTTTTAGCAAAAGAAAGTAAGCTCTATTTCTCCCCCTCTTTCTCCAGAAGTATCAAATCAATCAAAGCTTTAAAGTTGCATCTTACTGACTTGATTCTTATATTGTGCTATTTGATATTTTTAAAACAGATTTTGAAAAGTACTGTATGCTTTTAAATTTCATTTTATTTTTATGCAGATACACAAAATTTCTGATTTTAAAATTTTCAATGTGCTCTAGACTTGTATTTATTAGAGTTTAAATATACATGATAATCAAAAATTGATTAAGTAAAATTAAACTGTATTTTCACTTTTAATAAACAACAGAAATGAATTATAGTAGAAGAATGATTAAAATCTTGTTAAATTAATTAATTAGAATTAGATTTATGTTTCAAGTTAAGAAATACAGAGATTATATTAATTATTGTGCTTCATAAATGGATTGAGTAAGTATAATATCAAATCAATCAGATCCTTTACTAAATGAGAAATCAATCTACTTCAAATTTAGAATATACAGCATGTTTTTTGAAAAGTCTCAACAGCATGTTCTATGGGTTCTAAAAATGAAAAAATTTCCATATAAACATAGATCCAAAAATGCTACCTTTCTAGATTACAATAGTTTGAAATGTTCTCTACACAGATGTGCTTCACATGTATTGCTGTTATCACATCCACTTGACCATATATAAAATGAACATCCACTTTTTCTGAGTTAGAGTAATGGTTCATCATGTTAAAAGTTTCTTTATGTGAAACCGTGTCAATCTTCTTATTTGATTATTTCTCATATAAATGACACAAGGCTTTCTTTACATATGTAAAGTCGACAGAGGAGGGGCTAGACCTGAAATGTGTCTTGGCAAATGAAAAAAGAGAATTAAACATATGTAAAGAAAGCCTTCTGTCATTTATGTTACACTTTATTATGAGAAATAATCCAACACTTAAAAAAAACAGATGTTAAAGCCATAACTTATTATTCATTTATATTACATAAAATTTAATAATTGCTACAATTTTTAAAGGAAGCATTTTCAGACCTACGTTTATATAAATTTTTTCATTTTTATAACCCACAAGACATGCTGTTAATGTTTGTTTGTTTGTTAAGTTATGACAATGCAACACTTGGGCAATCTGCCTAGGGGGGATGCTTTCCGGGAGGTTTTTTTAAGGGAAATTGGCCCTTATTTAGGTGCTACAGACATGGAGAAAACCTGGAAAACTCCACATGGCCAGCCTGTCCAAGCGAGGCGCAAACCAACGACTGAACTCCCAGTGTTCAGGGTACAAAGACCACTTGGTCACTGGTGGGCGAACATACTGTTAAAGTTTGGCAATACCTTTCAAAACAAACCTGTACAATGAGAGACAAGGCAGAAAAAGAGGAAAAATAATTCCAAGTGGGAATTGATTCATTCTTTTTTTGAATTGTTTCTCATCCTGAAAAGGAAGCCAATTATCAGAGATTTCATAACTTTTCCTATTTTGTAACTTTCCTTTTTTCTATTGAAAGATGACAATTATCATTTTATAGATAATAAAGATATTAATTCACCAAGACTCTTTGTATTTAATGAGTTTTATTGACTTAAAAAAATGTTTTAGTTATGTATCTAATCTTAAAATAGTAAACATTTTGCTATCATACTTTTATATAAAAATTAAAAATAATACAAACAAGTTATAATTATCTGTAATTATTAATATAATATTTTTGAAAAAAATACCATTTCATAAATTAAATGTGAAATAACAAATATTGAAAACTTATAAATAAATTATATTTAATCATTTAATCAATATAATTTTATATATTACCTGCTAGCAGGTGATGTTCCTAATCTTGGTGTCCAATCCTTACCAGCCTTATTTTTGAGAAATGCAACTTCACACTTTTGTAAATATTTTGCCCATAAATTGAAAACAACATTCTACAAAAAGTAAATAATATGAGAAAATATAACAATATAAAAATTAATATTTAATTATTAGAGAGTATAGTGGGTGATTGGTTAACGAACATAATCTGTTCAAAGACTTGTTCATTATCCGAATTGTTCGTTAACCAATTATCGATTTACCATAGGTTTTTGTGAGAATTTGATTAATTCGTTCCAGAGACTCCAAAAAATAAAAAATATATACTTTTTTACTACATTTATTTATATGTAATAGTAAAAATACATGTACATGCAGTCTTGCATTTTTATTAGTCATGTTTTTTCTGTTTGTGGGGGTTAAAGAATCTGTCCAATGTCAATTGTTTTTCTCTTTTCTTCAGGTTTTTCGGAAGTAATTAATAGTATTGTAATTGTAGAGATCCCCAACCCCATTAACCTTATTCTGGTTTGGATGCCACTTGGATGATTGTTGTTCTGACATTCCTGAAGTTCTTCTGTTGTCAGATCAGTTTCAGGTTCCATTATGAGCTCTAAAACGTTCTTTATTTCTCAGATGTGATTTTCATTACTCCATTAGCAGCTTGAGACTTCTTGATATATCTTTCATATTTCTCAGTTATTTCTCAGATGCGATTTTCATTACTCCATTAGCAGCTTGAGACTTCTTGATATATCTTTCATAGCTAAGATCGTACCTATTGTAGACCTTTTCAAACCATACTATTGCCTAGCAACATCAGACATCTTGTGCCCACTTTCTACCTTGGCTATTATCTCTTGCTTGGTTTCTATGGTGAGCACAGTTCTTTATACTCCTCTTTTCAGGCTCCATAATATTATCAGTTTCTTTTTTTAAATAAAAAGTTCAGAAAAGCATTTACAAAAATTCAGAGAACAGAAATAAACTAGCCCACAAAAAATTATTTAAATGCAAGGCCTGGATGAAATTCAAAATTTGGTATTAAAATGTTAACAAATATCCAATAGGACAGTTAAACTTTCACCTTTTGTAAATAAACCCTGACAGAAAACTTAACAAGTGTCTGTCCGACAGTCTCGTGAAGACTATAAAAAATTATTTGTCAGAAAGGTAAACAAAAAGCTGGAATTACAAGGGAGAGTTTCAAAATTAAGAAGGATACTATCTGATCAGTATCAGGTTGAGCGTTGATGTTGACGTCTCCCGCGCTCTGAAAGATTTTGAATTGTTATCTGAAGACAAGGGAAAATCAATCAGTATTTGTTATTTTCCGTCGCTTCTTTTTATATTTGTTCAGTAAAGTGTTCATTGTCTGATCATAAAAATCTTTTGCGAAAGTGTTCACTATCTGAACTGTTTGTTAACTGATCACCCACTGTATATACTTATATCAGGTTGTAAAGATGAAATTTAGACATTTTATTGCCATGGAACTGTATTTTGGTAAAATGATTCTGCATAGTGCAAAATAAATGATAGTCAGTCAGTGCCAAAACTAGACTGTAAAGTGAATGAAGCAGAACCTCCCAGCCCAGACTGCCTAGCTTCTTTAAGATCATCTTTGTTCTATATGCTGTCATGCTGTCATGATAGTATCAGACTTTGTCAATTTCTGGTTAAAGTTCTGTGGTCTTGGTGTTCAAACAATCCAGTTGTTCAAAGCAGAGTTTTCTGTGACAGTAGTGTTGGTTGGAAGCAGCTCCATCAGAATGATTCCACATACATCCTACCAAATGCAGATCATCACCTTCTTCTTTTGCTTGTTGACTTTTGGTCACCCATGAAAGCTGCATGTAATATTGCAGTGTAAGACCCACTTCACATTTCCAGTCACAACTGTTTTGAGCCAGTTGAAAATGTTGTGCTTGGTGAACAATGAATTGCAGAAAGTGACACTGCAAATTTTGTTTGTAGCAGTCAATTAAGGGGCAACAAACTTATCTAGTTTGTTCATCTTGCCAAGAATATGAAGGTGATTGTATGGGAATGTTCAAGTTGTTGTGCTAATTCTCTGGTAGTCAACTGTAGATTATCATCATCTATCAGCTGCAGGAGAATATTATCATCAAAGATGGAACTGCTGTCAGGATGACATTCATCTCGAAGCAAGAAATCTCCATCCTTGAATTTCTGAAACTAATTGTAGCAGGTCTGCCTGTTGATTGTGTCCTTGCCAAATGCATTGCAAATTAAATCATGAGCCTTTGTTGCAGTGTGATCAATTTTTAAGCGTTAGAACAAGAGCATGTGAATGTGTTCTTCAGAAAGTTTCCTATTGTCAGACATTGCTGATGCATATACTTCCATTGAAATATTGATTACTCCACTAATAAACACACATCAAATGTTCTAGAAAATTTTTTCCAGTTGTTTCTAGAAATAAATTGAAATATCTTTATTTTACCTTTACAACCTGATACATGAACTTTTTAAATATTGAATAAAAAAACATATCCAGTAGATTTGGATATTTACATCAGAATATTTTGCAAAAGAATAAATATATTAATTAGTTATTTTTACTTTTAATTCAGTAACATTTGTTCATATAATTATTAAAATCAGAATATTATTTTTGAAGTTATTTTTGATATGTTTAGTTATATCTGTTACATGTTATTTGTTAAATTTTACAATTTCTTCCTGCAATTTTTCTTCAACAACAGCTTTTTTGTCCCCCATATGTTTGTATCCTTTAGTATAAAATTTCCTAAACTTTTTAAACCACATTTGACACATTAAAAAGCTTCTTGCATGTATTATTTAATAACAAAAACTACTTAAGTTACATATGACTAATAGACAGGTTTATTTCACATCCAGCCTATTTAATTAACTTATTCCAAAATGCATTTTGGCCTTACTGGTCCTTATCAATTGGGCAATATATAAAACAGAGTCTGTAGTGACAATTTGCCAACATTACATTTGATAACATTATTACACTATATGTATACACTAAATACATTAATACACTATTAATGAATAATGTATAATGTAATGTTACATGCTGATTAACATATTAAGTGCTGATTATACTAACTGTCCTATATCTTTGAATCTGTATATCAAGACATAAATATGTATACAAGCATCCAAAAAACATGAAAAACGTGTCCAAACTAATCCAAATGAGAAAAAATATGAAGAAAAGGAAATTGAACCAGCATACTCAGTGGGTGTGATGGAGACAGGGGAATAGGAAATTACCACTATCATAAAGACAACAGAGGAACTATTCACAAGGTTTTTACTGGACTTGTTTACTATTGTTGAGTTACTGTCCTAGTAATAATTTTAGAATCTTATTAATAATTATGTAATAACTTGTAATAATTGTACTATTAATGTATAATGTAATGTTGAAAAATTGTCATTATACACTTTGTTTTGTATGTCATTCAATTGAAAAGAACCAGTAAAGCTGAAAGGCATTTTGGGATAAGTTAAATAGGCTGGATGTGTAATAAACCTGTTCATTAGTTATATGTAACTAAGTAGTTTTTGTAATCACATTTGACATGTTTAGGAGCATCTTCAGCACACACATTCTGAATTTTTCCTTACTATTTGTATCCTTTCTGAAACTCAAAAAGCATATACCCAACATGCTTTTTGTATGAAGAAATTTTAACTTGATTTTATTCAAACAAAATGTGAAGTAAAAAGTTTAAAATAAGCTTCTAAATAAAGAGGACAATCTCAACTTAGCAATAATGTGTTAAATTTCACATCTATTATATTTAAATCACACATCTATGGTGAGTAAGGACAGTCATTAAAAATAAGCAAAAAATTTGTTTTCCCCAATATAGCCTTTACTTATTAACTATGGCATCCAAAAGTGTGTGGAAGTAATGAAGCCTAAGAGGAAGGTTGTATTATTGATTATTCAGGTGAAAAAAATAACTTAATGCAAAACATGAAAGTGATAGTGGTACAAATGTGGCAGATCTAGCAGCCATGTCTAAGATGCTAAAGTTAACAGTGTGCAACCAGCAATCTTTGTTTTATAATGTGGTACAAATAGCGGACCTTAAAGATTTTTACAATCCACAGACCCTTCAAATAAGACACCTATTATATTTACCTCTAAATAGCAGACACCCTAAATAATGGATAATGTTTTCCATAACCAACCTCAAAAATGCAATGTCCTGTCTTCAATATTCTGTAGGAATTAATTATATATGAAATATTTTAAAATGAAAACAATGAATCAGTTCAAATACTCTTTCAGACAACAAATTTTGACCATAGGCTTCAAATAAAGACTGACTTAAAATGGGAATAGGGGAGAAAGGCAGTTATAATAAGTCAAACAACATTTTTTTTATCTGTTAGACAAGTTTAATCTGATTAAGTTGACAATCACCATTTATCGTTATACATATTAATTTTATTAAAATTCTGTCTTATTGTTGAAATTAAACTTATGATACCAAAAAATTGTAAACTTTTTGGTTACTGATTACTAGTAACCTTGTATTATGTAATTTTCCTATTTGAATGCCACCATATTGCTAGTCTGATAGAAAGAAGGAACACTTGCGGAAGGGGTTGAAGTAATTCGACCAAAAGTAGTTGTTGACCTCCTCCCGGAAGAGAGGATCAATGACTACTAATTAATATTGGTCTACTATTGATATTTGAAAAGTGATCCGTGTTAGACAGGTTGTGACAGACCCAAATTTAATCAAAGTTGCTAATCTTAACATCCGAAAGACTTCATATCAAAATTGTTTAAATAAGAAAAAAAAAATCTTGTAAAAGTGCTAGAAAAATAATTCCTTTTATGTGATAATTAAGAGTTTAAATTTTGGCAACAGATTGTGTAAACTATGTGAGAAGTAACTTATGTTCTCGTAAATATTGCGTTTATAAAAAAATTATCGGGCTGCAATATGAAAAAATTGTCAACCTATAAATTCCAACTGTTTGTCTAGTCATCTGTCCTTCCTTAATCTCGAGAAAATAGTTAGATAGATGAAAGTCAAAACCAGATATGAAAAGCTTAGGGGCAACAGGCTCAGATTAACTATATATAAACTTCCAGTTTTGAACAAAAGTTACATTACTTCCATTCAAACTTTTCTCCTGAATGGAGTTAGATAGATGACCAACACTACTCTATTGCTAACAGGAAAAGTATGATGTATAGGGCAAGATTACCACTAAAAGAATTGAGAACATTGTGACAAAAAGTTGCAGCACAACATTATGATGATGTCACAATAAATAATCACTCATTAGAATTAGTTTGGTTTATTTTGTTATAGCAACACAACATGTGAGTGATCTGCCAAGGGGGTGCATCCCAGAAAGACTTTTATGGGAAACTAGACCCTCTTTAGGTGTTACTAATGTGAAGAAATCCTGGAAAACTCCATATGGCCAGTGTTCAGTAGTTTTATGCACTTGGCTACTGGAGGTCATTTAGAATTAAGAAAGTACCGTTCAGAAATGAAAAATCCAAGTCAGTAGATGTGGAAAATTAAATACTTATATACTTACTATAGCCTTTTCATAAGATAACACTTTCGATTCCGTGCAGGCAAGTGCTATATGCCACCAGTACAGTAATGATATAGCACATCTATTTTGCACTATATCATTGTTACAGTAATTAAGTGAATATAATATATCTATTTTTAAATTATATCCTTTTTTTATAAGAATTATAAAAAAGGATATAATTTTAGTTTATTTTGTTAAATTTTTTGCCAATAGATGACACTATGTGTAAATCAGCAAATTGAATGTAGATAGAAATTAATTGATTTACAGGAATCCAATAAATATTTTGGAGTGGGATGTAGGACATGATCTAAGGTAGAAGTATGTAAATGTAACTGCCAAGTTTCGGAACAATTGGCCAATTAGCCTAGGAGTGTATAGCGAACAAACCAACAAACATTGTCTCATATATATAAAAGTAAGTTTTTATTTGTACATTAAGCAAATTGTTTTATTAAATATTAAAATATTCACTTCATAACATGATTTATTAATCAGCAATATACACNTTTGTATTTTCATAAACTGATAAATTCTTATTAATATATAAAATTAATATAAATGTCTCAAAACTTATTTTAAAATTTGTCAATTTACTATTCTTCATTGAAGAAATTACTGATAAATAAGTGGGAGTTATTTTCTTATAAAACAAATAGAAAAATATTAATACTGAGATTATTTATAACTGTTATTTTTAAGTTAATGGAATATTAATTATGTTTTTGAAATGATTAAAATGTCAATATATATATTTAAGAAATTTTGAATAGTTTACTCCTTAAATAAATAAAAATAATTCAAGAATACCTTTAATTGAGGTGATGCTCCAAGTTCAATTAATTTTTCAACTTGTCTGCATATAATAATATTGAAGCACTGGTGTGTACTCCATTTTTCACCATACAGATCTTTACTTTTCTCAGGCTTTTTCTCTTGTGATGTTGCAATACATAAGCGTGCAGAAATATTTTCTTGAGTTTCATCTTCTTCTTTTTGTTCTCTTATTACCTATTAATGTTATAATTTATTTATTTATTATGGTTTTGATAAGTTTGCATTTATTTATTTTTACTTATTTCTTTATTTGAAAAATACAATTCAATGTCTTAAAAATAAATTCTGTGATAAATCGTCATCATCAGAAGAATGAAAATAATGGTACCCTTCATTAGAAATTACTTCATAAATCAAATTTATCTAGTGCACTTATTTGTTAATATTTCATTTCCTTGATAAGATATAGTCATATGGAGCATAAAAAGATAGAAGTTACTTTTATGTATATTATACATATATAAATATTTAAGATGAAAGAAAGCTCTACCCATAATATAAAAGTTTTTCAAATTTCCTAAGAAAGGAAGGAATGCTAGGAGGCACGTCCTAAAAGTAAGGTACAATCTTTTATAACAACTTAATAATAAAATACATTAAAAAATTATATTGGCTATTTGAAAATATCAAACTAAGCTGTTTTTCTACATAGATGACATTAAAAAAAAACATGCATACAGGTATTGTACCTACTTCAAATCATTAAAGTTTAATGAAAGCACAAACATTTGCAGCCACTTTTAAGGGTCTTCATCAGGTGAGAGAGCTGTTTTTCACATCAAATAGATTACAAAAATTTTTTAAATGGAATATTCCATACATGCAATGATGCAGGTTACAAATTATTTGATACTCTACCACATGCAGTTTTAAAAATTATAAATGTTAACTGACTCAAATACAAAGATAGATACATAGATCAAGATTTATTTCCACCTATACTATGAGGATTACTATAAACAGGCCTAAATTAATATACAGTGGGTGATCGGTTAACAAACATAATCTGTTCCAAGACTTTGTTCGCTATCCGAATTGTTCGTTAACCAATTATCAATTTACCATAGGTTTGTATGGGAATTTGATTAATTCGTTCTGAAGACCCCAAAAAATAAAAAATATACACTTTCTTACTACGTTCATTTATATGTAATAATAAAAATACATATATACGCAGTCTTGCATTTTTATTAGTTATGTTTTTTTTTTGTTTGTAGGAGTTAAAGAATCTGTCAATTGCTTTCATCAGGATTTTTAAGAAGTAATTAATAGCATTGTAATTGTAGAGATCCCCAAACCTATAAACCTAAACTTGGTTTGGATGCCATTCTAAGACCNAGTTACTTTTATGTATATTATACATATATAAATATTTAAGATGAAAGAAAGCTCTACCCATAATATAAAAGTTTTTCAAATTTCCTAAGAAAGGAAGGAATGCTAGGAGGCACGTCCTAAAAGTAAGGTACAATCTTTTATAACAACTTAATAATAAAATACATTAAAAAATTATATTGGCTATTTGAAAATATCAAACTAAGCTGTTTTTCTACATAGATGACATTAAAAAAAAACATGCATACAGGTATTGTACCTACTTCAAATCATTAAAGTTTAATGAAAGCACAAACATTTGCAGCCACTTTTAAGGGTCTTCATCAGGTGAGAGAGCTGTTTTTCACATCAAATAGATTACAAAAATTTTTTAAATGGAATATTCCATACATGCAATGATGCAGGTTACAAATTATTTGATACTCTACCACATGCAGTTTTAAAAATTATAAATGTTAACTGACTCAAATACAAAGATAGATACATAGAACAAAGTATTATAAAATAAATATAAATAATATATTTAAAAAAAAAAACATAAATATTAACAATAGTAAAATAAGAAGCAGATTACCTGTGCATGTTAGAAATTGAAACTGCATCAGAATGGTGTGCATTGTTTTTAATCAATTGTTCCAGCTTTTGAGTGTTTAGTCACCATTCTTTTCTAAACACTTTCTCCATTGGGAGACAAGAACAAAAAAATTATTTTCTGAAAAAATTCTCCACTTCATGATTTGAACTAGTCCTTGAACTGCATCTTTATCTTAATCATCTGAGAAGTATAAGAGCCCAAAATGCTTCTTAAGAGGTCCAGAAAGATAAAAATTAATATGTGCATAGTTGCAAACCATCAGCATTTTGTATGCTCCATCAGGCCACTTTTTCCTTTTCTCAGCATTTTAAAAGAATTTGATAATATCACAAACACTTTATTTAATGAGTCTAATATCAATATATATGTCAAAGACTAAGTACATATTTTATTATGAATGACTGAAGCAAACCAGAAAGATGTTTTCAGATTTGTTGAATTGGGAAAAACCAAGAATGATATTTTTATATATGTATGTTGGTATAGGTAAGAGAATTTTAGCTCAAATATGACAAATTGCATCTTCAAGTAGTGCCATCATGTTGGTAGCTTACTTATCAGCAAAAGTTACTTTTACAGTTAGGCCAAATTATTCAGCAGGACTACAATTTATCCTCCCAAAATGAAGAAACATCTAATCCATCACTTAAGGCCACATGGTATGACTTTCTCGAGAAAAGAAACCAGATGGTTCCTTTGGAATTTGTGGGATTTTATAAAGATTTGTAATCTTGTAAAATAGTAAGACTGATCATGGTTTTTCCACACAGCATTGCAGGGCCTCCCCTTCATTGTTGTGTAGCCAAAGGAAAAGATATTTAGCATGTCAATTACTTATACAGTAGCACCTCAGGATACGAAATTAATCTGTTCTGAAACTGAAATCGTATCATGAAAATGTCGTAAGGTGAATCATTTTTCCTGATACGATTACATGTAAAACTAAATAATTTGTTCCAACATGAAAAACACACTTAAAGCTAAGTAGTACAGTACATTAAAAAAAATAACTATAGTAAGGAAAACACTGAAAAATGCATTTTGTAGTTGTAAATGTATAAATAACCTTAATTGAATAATAATTGATAAAAAAAATGTAGTTTTATTTCACTTTACCTTTGAGGATAGACGATGGTGGAGGTGTAAACTGATGGCGGAAGAGAGGGAGAAGGGAATGATACTAAAACTAAACTTACATAACATAATGTAACAATAACTTAAAAATAACTTAGAAAAGATAAAAAAAACTTAGTGTTGTTTTATATATATATTTTTTAATTTTTATTCACTGCTTTTTGCTTTCTTTCCTTCACTTCCACCAGCACTTTCACTGGATAGAGGTTGCTTGGTAAAACATCTATCCAGTGGTTTGACTTTGCCTACTTTTTAAAATGTTTCTAAAATGACTTAGGCAAATGTCATTACTCTGAGCAGCAATACGGCCAGTGTGAACCTTTCTGGGATGTTTCTTTTCAATAAAAGCAGTCACTTTCTGACAATACCTCAAGATTTCCTTTATCGAGCGAGATCCTTCCACGATGAAGCAAACACGTGGACTGAGACCGACGAACAGAAGTGAATAAAAAATGGCGCTGCAAACTAATGTAACATCGTATGGCAAGTTTTTGTTCGTATCGTGGAGCAAAAATATGTTCGAATGTCATGTCGTATCCTGAAAATTTCGTATGCTGGGGCATTTGTATCCTGAGGTACCACGGTATTATACTTTTGTCCACTTTGGATATTCTTGTGAACTAGAACTTGTTATATTGTGTGTTTCTCTTCCTTCAGTATAACAATTCCTAGTTTCACAAGAACATACAAAGTGGAACAAAAGTATGATATTTATCATGATAAGTAAAAGTAAGACAGAGATAGGAAATAAATCACAACCATAAAAATTAGTGTCCTTAATAATTGTCCTTGTGCAATATCAATGCAATGTTAATAAACAATTCTTTTGCTTTTTATGCTGTCAATGTTTTTATTCAAAAAGCAGCATTTTTCTACCAAATCTCAGCTATTCCTCATTCTAAAGGTTGGCAAATATATGTGTGCTATATCTGAACCAATTGCAGGATAGTCCATTACTTTCCACCCAAACTATTTAGCTAGTCTGAAGTCCAATATGCAGTATGGGAGATTTCATCATCAGCAGATATACCATCCTACATGTAATCCAGACACCTTCTAATTTTTACCCTTTTGACTTCTTAAGAAACATCTTAGTGGGTTACATGTCTCAGTTGACGATGAAGTTAAAGATACAATCATGGACTCGTTCAAATCATTAATTAAGTGGATAATTTTTTTCAGAAAGGAGCTTTGTCCTCTCTCAATGGAAAAAGTATGTATAAAAGAATGACACTAACTTGTAAGTTGAAAAATAGCTCAGACTGTGTACTTTCAAGCGATTAGTTTAATTTTTAATGCAATTTGTTATTGTTATAAAAGATAATACCTTACCTTAGTTTTGGGACATGGTCCCTACTTATGAACCGAAATATACGTTAAATACAATAAATAATAGAACTTACTTGACTCTGAGTATTACATTCAACACAAAAGTACAGTCCATCGTATACATCGAACTCTTTACCTCCACATACATTACAGACAGACATTATCTATAACAGGTATTAATTAAATATATGCAAAGTCTAAAAAGTTACATAAATAAACATAAACATTACAACGACTTTAACATGTGCTTATTTCTATTCTGTAGAGTAAGATACATGTGCTCACTCGCTAGTTTGTCCGCCCTCTGGTGGGATGGTTAGGTGTTAGCTGTGACGTTTATTTCACGTTCTCATTCAAACTGCGTAGCTAAAGAACGCAATTTGGTGCTACTATCAATGTTAATTTTACAATGTAATTACTTTTTAAAAATAAAAGCAAATTTTATAAATTATTTAAGATGATTTTATTATCATCAAAAATGAAAATATATATTGAAAACTATGGCTGCCACCGCATTTTGTGGTGGCGCTAGTAAAATGTAAACAATATGACTACGAATCGCGGACAACGTGCGTGGATATCTTTTAAACTTTATATTACACAATGGTTCGATATTGCTGTGTTCCAGTGCAAATATAAACAGAGAGATTATTATAACGAACATAATATTATTGTTTTTTTACATTATATTTCATTAAAATATGTTTTAAACGTCCATAATTTATAAGGAAGTTAACATTTGAAAAAATGCTACATGCAATTGGTTATACAGACAACATATTAGAACTAATTACTTTTTTATGGAGATATAAACGAAAACAATCAAGTCTCGTAATGAAGAGGAAATCTGTAAGAACTGTTGTTTGAAAAGGAAGAACGATCTTTCCTACTTCGCTTTCAAAAGGACAACTATTAACGATAAAATATATTAAGTTTAATAGACGTCCATTTGGGAGCATCGTAATAATAAACGTGTCTTAACATTCTATTAACTAATTATCGAGAATGACACAAAAACAAAAAAAAAAAATACACAGATCATATGCATGTGGTTTGGAATTAATTAGAACGTTTATTAAAGAAATTAACTCTACTACGGTTAAAAATTCGGACTTATCAAGTCGGCAGTCAACTTCAATTAATGAGTCTTCGGATCAATTTTTAAGCCAATTAAATTTTAACTAGTTTTCTATATTTCCTAAGATTATCTGTGCATTATTTTCAGCCATACCTAGAGTTTTCATATTATTATATTATATTTAATCTTTTACTTGTTTTTTAATTCGATATTTCTTAAATCGTATTAACGACTTTAAGATTAATTTCTCTATTATTTTTGTGTCATGTTTCTATATATTGTCTTAATTGAACTCGGTAACTGCAAAGTTCTTAACTCTATTCTCTCTTTTATACACTTTCTTAATGCTTACATCACGGCAGGATATAACGCAGTTAGAAGAAGAGATCAACAGGTTAAAAATGGATATAAGATACTTGGGAAAAATAACAAAAATAATAGAGAAGTTAACCTTAAAATGTGTATTAAAAAACAAGTAAAAAATTAGAATATAATATTCATACAATTATACAGACAAAAAGCGTTTTTAAACTAAGTAATTAGAGTAATTAAGTAGTAGGACTAAGTAGAACTCATTGAATTGACCTTCGAGTATTAATAACGAACGAATTTGATTTAAAAAAAAAAAGGAGTTTTAAGTTCCCTTCAGTAGCCATTATTCGGAGGTTTGACTGTGTAATCGTTAAAGAATTTGAAAATGAAAACATTAAATAAATAAATTAATTATCTGATAAATTTAGGATTAAATTTTGATTTCCACAGAACCAGAAAAAAATAAGATACTTTAGTGCTACCAGAAATCTGATAAATTTTAAACACTTTTTTGTTTTGTTTTTTTAACATAATAAGCGCTTCATAAAGATAAAAATGACTTGAACATCTCTCGACATGTGAAGGATTCTTATGGCTTTGTTAAGTTTTTACACAGATCAAACAACGGCCGCTAATAGAAACATTATTGTTTGATTTTTGTTCAAAAAAGCATTAAGAATGAGCAATGTTTAAAGGTGGGCGTTACTGTATTAGCAAGAAAAATGAATATGATTAAGAACATTCTCAAATAAAATTTTTTATTTAATTAAAGAAATGATAGAAAAATATTATAGTCTATTTTTCATTTATCCTATTATTTATTTTGTATATAAGACTTTACCTTTAAATATTAATTAATATTTCGATGCTCTAAAAGGACTCGATTAAAAGATGTTACGCTTATATTTTATCTTACAATATATATGTTATTGAGTCTTACTAATGGTAAAAAGTAATAAATATAGAGGATTTATTTAACAAAGATTAATGATATCTCTCAGGTTATATTCAGGGAGAAGAATTGATTCGGAACATGATACCAAAGTTAATTACGATATCAGGAAATAAAGGGCAGAAGATCGACTAAAGATAAAATAAGGACGATTCAAAAGAGATAAGAATATAATAAATAGAAAGAAATGGCATGTAAGATTAAAGAAATTTTTAGTTCATAAGACAATAAGTAAATTCTGAGTGAAGATTTGTCATATTTGTCTTTTTGTTTCGTAATGATTAATACTAAAAATAGAAAACTATTATCATCTTAGTTAACAAATTATGAAGAATATTCAAATGAATAGTTTCCTATATTTTCATTACAAACATTTAGACTCATTCAAAATTCATTACATGGTTCGGCTTGTATGTTTCATTATATTATTTAAACAAAATAAGTAATATTCTCCACAACTGATGAATTTTATCCTTATTTTGTTTGGATAATGCAATTAATTTTCATGTTGTAAAATTAACTAATGTACTGTAATTATTTTTATTAGAAATTTATTCTCCGTGCTAAATTCGAATTTTTCACTTTACTTAATATTTAAATGTAGACAAAAAGTAGAGGAGAAGGTGGTATTATGGAACCGCAATTACGTTTTAGTGAATTGTAAACAAGGTATCATAACTACACCTACATTTTTTGTGCGAAAAGTACTGGTAAATATTAAACTAAATGTTCCTAATTGGATTTTTCGCTAGTGTAACTATAAGTATGGTTTTTGAAGGCTTTCTGTNAGCCGGTATATACCGATCGGATAGTATTCCTCCGAACTTTGAAACTCTCCCTTGTAATTCCAGCCTTTTATTTTTCTGACGAAACAATTCTTTTATGTATTCGCGAGACTGTCAAGTAGGCACTCGTTAAGTTTTGCGTCTGTTTTTCTTTTCGAAAGATGAGAGTATAATAGCAAAGGTAGAGAGTGGGCAGAAGATGCCTAATGTTGCTGGGCAGTATGGCGTGAACGGGTCTACAGTAGGCCGCAGTTCAATCTTATTTAAGAAAAATACTGTATAATCGAGAAGACTCAAGCAGCTAAAGGAGTAACAAAAATCACATCTGAGAAATAAAGAACATCGAAGAGCTCATAATGGAACCCGAAACAAATCTGACGACAGAAGAACGCCAAGATCTTAAAGATCTTTTGAAGAAGTGGGAAGATGTCAGAACAATGGTCTTAGAATGGCATCCAAACCAGGTTGAGGCTTGGGGATCTCTACAATTGCAATGCTATTAATTACTTACGAAAAATTCTGAAGAAGAGAGAAAAGCAATCGACATTAGACAGATTCTTTAACTCTTTCAAACAGAAAAAAACATGACTAATAAAAACGCAAGACTGTGCATGTATGTATTTTTATTATTACATATAAATAAACATAGTAAGAAAGTATATATATTTTTTATTTTTGAGATCTCCAGAACGAATTAATTAAATTCCCATTAAAACCTATGGTAAATCGATAATCGGTTAACGAACAATTCGGATAGCGAACAAAGTCTTGGAACGGATTATGTTCGTTAACCGATCACCCACTGTAATTAAATTCGCTTAGCATTCAAAACTTGCGAATTTTGAAAAAAACAAATTTGCTGATTAAGTACGGACAACCATTTAACTGAAGTAAAACTGGATTTCCCCTTGCTATGGATGTCTGCCTAGTTCAGTTCAGCCACATTCCGCTACAGTTCGCCTTTATTATCAGTTCGAAATGGGGTGGTGTTCCATAATACCACCTTTTCCTCTATTATTTTTAAATAATTTTTTTTGAAATTTTATAACAAATCAATGAGGTGTTCGTGGCATACCGATCCCTGATATAGAATATCATTCTTCATTTAATTTTTTTTACATCCAACAATATTATATATATATATATGTTATCAATTTATTTGATTAAAACATTTCATAATTAAAAAATAAATAAATAAATATTTACTTACTCATAAAATTTTAATTTGCCAAATATTTAGTTTTTTTTTTTATTTCGTATAGGCCTATCTCATTTATCTAATACTTGGCTATTTGCTACGCTTCATTTTAAGAAGAATTTTTCTACGCTGGAAAAAAAAGTTATTTATAGATTATATAAAATATCCACTTTCTCATACCTATTATGAGAAATTCCTTTTAGTTAGAAATGACATTTTGATGCCATTGTTGAATAAATTGATGTTGCCATTGAACGAATGAACTGAAACATGATTTATTAATATTTTTATAGTGATTGCACGGCTAATTTTTATTATATATATATATTTATTTTATATATAACATGCAGGTAATTGAGCTGAATAGATCACAGGAATATAATTTATATTACTTTTAATTTGTAAAAAATTCCTTTATACTTTTTTTAAATACATTTTAGTACATCCCTTCCATTAATGCAAGGTAACACGTGCCAATAACTGGTAGTACAGTACATGAGAAATCATTGATTAAAATACTGTATATAAACAAATAGTAACGAATAAGCGTAAACCAATGAGTAATACATCATCTTGAAAAGCTCGACATTATCAGTTCAATAACAGTTCAGTTTAATAAAACAAGTAAAATATTATTAATATACAAAGTAAAACTTTAATATATAAATCCTATTAGTAATTTCTATTTTATTATTATATATAAAAATAACAAATTGTATATACATATATATACAGTATTGTTATTTATTTATGTATGAACGTAATAAATAAAATTAGAAAATTAATAAAGGTAAAATTTTAGTTATTAGTTAATAAATTTTCTAATAAAAATTTTACTG